ATCCCCGCCTTTTTGGTATCATTCCCCGTATGCCTGATGTTCTCGCTTCAATTGAATGCGAGCACGGCAAGGTCGAGCTATTCAACTTTGTTGGGCCAATGCTCTACCATACGATCACTGTGACATGTGTTGACGAGCAAGGCAAGAAAACGGTCAGGAAAGAAAAGGCATATGTCTTTTCCGAAGATAGCAGTGCTCGCAACAAAGGCGAGGAATGGTGGTCGACATATCGTTATCAGTTGGAGGCGTTCGTTGACAAGGTGAAGGGCCGCGAGCCGCAGATGTGGATAACCAAGGAGGATTCTATCGCAAACATGGAGTGGGTAGAGAAGATCTATACCGAGGTGTGTTTTGGGCGCTCTCTTTCAGGAAGTTAAGGCTGAAAATATTTGTAGACGGGACTCGGACCAAGGCCACGGTCGAGCTACGTGCATTCGGCGTCATAGACCTTTTTGCCTCTTTATCTTGGAAATGAAACTTCTCGGCTTCCCATGGGAGAGGAAATGGTAGTTATGCAGGCGTATGACTTGCTGAACCGGACCAGAAGTGCATATCATATAAAGCAACCTTGAAAAGGACATGGCATGAGGCTAGCTCGCCTTTGCCACACTGCATATTCACATCGTGTTGAGCTTCTTTCACCCTCGTTCCTCACATTTCTTCATATGTTTTCTCGTTATCGCCAGCCAAAGAGTGCCTCAGGGCGTTCTTTCGTCTAAAAAGTCTATCCAGCGTGACTGGGGAGTAGGCACTAATTACTGATTCCAGGCTCAGCGATGTCAATAGCCTCCGAGAGGCATGGCAATCCATCAGGATCGTTATATGTATAGATAGTAGGCCAGGTGATTTGTCCTGGATCCCTTTCAGACTTTGTTCTTATTCCTTTGTCTCTACCTTCTGCCGGTGCTGGACAGCCTTCCGCTCCTTCTTGACGATCACCCTTCCGCCGGTCAAGCTTCGGCGCTTGCTTTCAGGACCATTCTCGGACTCAGCAGCTTCGCTTCTTTTAACAACAAAGGCAAGTCTGCGAGCGTTTTCGAACACGCGAGGATGCTGACTGTCTAGGTTGGCAGCCCCAGCGAAATGCTTTCTCCTCCTGGTCTTCCGTCGAGGCCCCAGTATGGCGACCACAAGAACGCCAGGGATTCCGTTTTGACGTTCGCTGCTATCTACTACCCCGACACCGGCATGCAATCCTTTGATAGTGACAGCCTTGGGGCTCTTATGGATTATGAAAGAGCAGACGAGTCTTCCGTGAGTCACGAGGATTTTATCGCTCGAAGAAATCTTGGCCGTAAAGATGGAAGACCACCCAAGGAGAGGCCATCCAGTCCAGAACCTTTTGCCTTGCTTGGGGGGCGCCAACGCCACTTTATCGGAATATGCTCTTCCAAGGTCTACGAGAAGTATGTGAAAGGTCTGGTCCCTTTCAGGAAATGTGAATCAGAAAGCAGCTATTCGACGACGGAGAGCGACGAGATTAGGTCCTATGCATCTATACCCATTGAGTCCATTCTTTTCAGTGATTTCGAGGTTCGTTCTCTTTTTTCATCGCTTGGTTACGGGCATGCTCACAAAGTTTGAAGGGATCCGAGACCAAGGCTTCCCCTTACCTGGAGGATGATTCCTATGCACCTCAACATCCAGTCAGCGTCCCTATCACCCCGAGTGCCAACTCAGTCTTCACCTTTGCGGCCCTTCACGACCCTAAGCGCCTCTCGGGTCTTCAAGATGCAAAGTTCCTCTGTGTCCCTCAGGCGTTCAAGCACGATGACAACGAGACGGACGCTTTCGCTACTCCAAAGGCAGAGCTAGAAGAGGTTCAAGAATTGATGTATTTCCCTGCCTCTTCTCGGACACCGAATACCTACCGCGATGCTATCCCTTCGTCGACCCTTAACGGGCTTAAAGGTAGATGGCAGGGCCTTCCTTACTACGAGGACGATGAAGGCTTCTATGAGACGGTCCAACCAAACGATTGCACCAATCTGGTATGTTCTACGAGGCCATTCTTCTCTTTCAGAGCTGATGCTGTGAAAGCCTTCGCGTTTCTCTGTGACCACAACTTCCACCTCCCGCTACGTTGAGGTTGACGAGGGTGTTATGCCAAGTCCAGGCCCGACGGCTGTATTCATGGGGCGAAAACCAGCGCTTCCCTCGAAACCTTCCTTCCTGTCTTGCTCGCGACAAAGGAAGCCAAGTTTACCGCACGACCCTGAGACGCCACGTCTACCGCCTGTATCAGGTGAGGGGAGACATCATCAGGCTCTGCAAACTCGGCTATCACAAGTGTTCAGGCAGCGTCTATCGAAGAAGAATCGTCCTGAGAATATAAACACTAGGTGGGTTATGGTAGACGTCGAGTGTGTTGTCACGGAGAGGGTCTTTGATGTCTAGAAGCTGGTGAACTGGAATTCGCCACTGAAATCGTATTGAAGATTTATGTTTATGCTTTATCTTATGATTAATTAGCAACCAATGGCAACCTCTATGATTTAGGCGCCCGTCGGGACGTGTTATTTGGCCGTGTTATGCTGTATCGCGCCAGGACTGTGACAGCCGCGGCGGTCCTTGCCTCCTTCCACTCTCACCGTCTGATCTCAGGCTGTTGGTCGAAATGAGTTTCAAGAAAAGGTAAATGTTATTTTCGTTTGCGCAGTACAAGCAACCAGGGCCTCAACTTGGCCACTGACAACAACAACCTGCAACAGTAAACTCGATCTATTGGTTCGTGTTCGGTATTCGAATCCCTTGCCTCCGCCACCATGTCCTCCGAAGCTTCTGGACATCCCTACGAACCCCATGCGGTATGCTCGACCAGAGTATCTCAATGCGGTGGCCAGTGAGATGCCTCTGCCTATGATTGTGGACGCCGAATGTGGGATGCCGTTGGACTTGTCGCAATGGGAATCATTATGGGAGGAAGGCGCAGATGATGCAGGTGAGTGGTTACTTTTATGCCAGTGATGCACTAGTCATGATCCTTTCGATATCCTAGCTCTGAATCCGGACCCAAACAACCTGCCTCGTCTGGACCCCAAGGATGCGTTTCTGCTCGGAGACCCTTCATCCTCCACGGGGGCCTATACAAATGGATCCAATGCTGGTCCTGCTACAACGTCTTCGAATGTTATGGCCAACGTTCCATGGCTGCGCAAGACTGAGTATCTCAGTCGTGAAAGTAACCAGCGTAATCCTATTTCACAAGAACCGTGCGTCACCCGTGAATTCCAAGCTATGCCTTGCGCGTTCTGACCGACCTTTGCACTTCAGAAAACACATCGTACCTACTGCCGCAGTTGACGTTTCACGGACGGCTCAGCTAGCTACCATTGATGCCTCCTTCAACGCATGCAATGAGGACTTTGACCTTGAAACCCTCCGACATCCCAATAATCCCAAGCTTGTTGCAGTGGAATCATACCCCATCCTCCCCGATTCCGATATATGGTCAAACCAGTACGATCTCTTCCGCTTTGCCGAACGCCCGGGAGAGAGGCCTGGAGATGTAAGTTCGTCGCTAGCAGCGTTTAGCGTATCTAACATGGCCATAGGTTCCCGACGAGCGCTTGGACTGTGCTATCCTGCGCCCCATGCGGACAGAGCACGACTCCTTCTTGGCATACTATCTCACTAAAGACGACGAGTCTGCCATGCGGCTTAAAGAGACGCGGACGTCTATTAATCCCTATGAAGTGCCAGATGACCAAGAGGTGAGCAGCAAGATGTAAAAGTGGCGGCTGTTCTAACTCTCCTTCCAGGAGACCATCTTCCAGTTTGTCCGCGACTATGAGACTGTCAAAGTGGAGCAAGAGGTACCGAATGAATTCCTGCTTGTGATTCATGACGGAGACGACGAGGAAGACGTATTCGAGACTGCCTTGCGGCCAAAGAAGGAGAAGGGGGCTTACTACAAGAACATTGAGCGCAAGATGCTGCTCAAGAAGAGGCGGGCAAACGTGAGTATCATTGCTTGTTGTCATGAAGCCATCACGCTGACCATTAGCAGGCGTACGAGGACCAGTATGAAGACAAGTGGGAGGTGATTCGCATGAAATACGCGCCTGCGAGCAAGGAAGAGCAGGAGGAACGGCAAGAGGCACTTGCAGAGGTTGGAGATCCCCACTACCTGCTCAACAGGGACGCCGAGGGTGAGATTGAGGTTGATGATTCAACAGCAGCAGCCATCTTCTCGTAGTGCACGCTCAGTCCAATCGATTTCGAATGTTTTTGCAGTAATTCATTTTCGTGTTACCCGTAAGCGCTTCTGGTCATACGAATATACAGATAACGAGACGGTGCGTTGTGAGTCGAGTCGAGAATGAAACATCTAAGCCTCTGTGATTTCGCGCAACCGACGGATGGTGCTAAAGGACTGTCAACCTCTGTCAGTGACGCTAGTACTATCACTACTCACCTCCGCACAGTGGCAGCAGCGGTCGTCGAAACGGTCCAGGCACCTCCTGCGATGACTTTTTTGCATGCACTGCAGCCCCAAATGCCGACCGCTGACCTCTTCACGGTGTCCTATTGAATCCCATCAGCTATCCCATCCAACCCAGATCCGGCATTCCACACAAACGAACCTTTCCGCAGAAAGTGCAAGTGTATTTTGCGTGCTGGGACACTTCCATCTTCTTCACTTGCTTACGGAGAGAGGCACCATAACGCTAGACCCTTCAATGAGCTCCCTATCCTCCTCCCAAGTGTCCATTCTGAACTTACAGTACCGTACTTTCCGGTGATGCCGACTTTCTTGGTGCGTTTGGTCTACAGCCACATAGATTCAGTATTTCATCATACAATCGACCTGCATGCGACGCACCATCTTGAGGTTTTGGGGGGAGGGAGCTGGGCGACGCCACGCACAGGGAGCAAACAGATTCGATGATTGAGACGGGCGTGGGAATATCGCGCCAAATTGGTGTACTGTACAGTTTTTGATCACGGCGCAAACGTTGTGGCGTTATCATATTGATCTCTAAGGGGTGCTTAATATCGCCCGCCTAGCTCAATCGGATAGAGCGTCAGACTCTTATGTCTGGGCGGGTTTCTCCGTTTAGTGGAATCTGAAGGCTGCGAGTTCGACCCTCGCGGTGGGCTACTGTTTTTCCTTTTTGTTGCTCGATCAACAGCAATCAACGGCATGGTCAGAATTTCGGAAATATCCCGTGCCCTTTCCCGCAGGGGCAGCCATCGCTCCTCGTCAGCCAACGGCATAGGGTGGCTCAAGCCAAGCGCTGGTACTCTCGAACAACTGGGACATTTCACTTTCGAAACAAGTCTGATCGTTATGAGCGTCTCAGGATGCCTTGTCAGCCTCCCATCCCTGAGGGATGTAGACCAGGCCGTTTGGTCACCTCATCCCCTTGCCTCTCCTCTCTTCTCCCCAACATACCCCCCTTTCTGAAGGGCAGTGGTGTGCTCGTATCGTGCCGCTCCCCTCTGAGCACGAAATACCACACCACCAAACCCAAGTCCCAGTAATGGGCCAGGACAGAGGGGACTTGACTTGGGTGGGCGCCTAATATCGAGATATTCGTCACAGGGTCCCGCCAATAGAAAAACTCCATTTCCCACCTATCATAAGGACCGTTGGAAATGCAGTCTTCCTCCTCGAGTTCTACCTCTCCAGAGCACTTGCTCTTCTCTTTCTCTCTTCTCTCTGAACCTCTTCTCACTGTCAATCATCCCCGGGGCTCCGGATGACAACATTCGGTTCCCAAGCCCTGCATTCTCAATCGAGTTCTACTCTGCAGCTTCCTGAAAAAGATGTTTTCCCATTTTCCCAACCTCTCGCCGGGGCTTTGTTAGGCCATGGTAGGCAAATGTCTCCCTCGCCAAGCTCCGCCATTCGCCACAAATCACCCCGTTTTCCTGGCGTCAGGTTGGGGAAGTCCTCGCAAGGCTTGCCTCTTTCCCGCGGCCCCTTCCCATGTGACCTGGGCTACCTTCATGGCTCCAAGAGTCCGTTAAATGTTGGTAGGACAGTGATGTGGTATTTGAGCCCCCCTTGCTGTTGGTCGCATCCAATAGACACAAGGTACCGCACTTGTACTAGAAGCTCGCCCCGTGCGTTGTCCCCTTTCAGGTTAATTTCACATTCCATCCGCGGGCTCAGGCCAGTTCCGATGTCAGCGAAGCTCATGACCAGCGGTCTTGAACGATCCCTCCCCCAAAATCGGTTTCGACTTGAGTAACATTTGTTAAACCCGGCCTCCAAGAGGAGCTGGTTGGATATTCGGGTGAGGTCCGCAATCTAGTATTAGAGCCTGGACTCATGTCCACCCTTCTCCAGGCATCTTGTCAGGCCTGTCTCACAACCTTCGCCAAATTACCAGTCGCAGGTAAACGCAGATCCCATAATTCGACGAATCAGAGTCCAGGGACCCTCACCCGCATAACTTCAAATCGGATTCAGACACGAGCCACCAGTCCAAGAGGATCTTCGGTCGCTCATTGAAGCCATATCGCCGACGAGGCGGCTGGAAGCCAGCAGAGATTAAGGGACAGGTAGGACAGACTCTTACTTTTCTGATTGAAAGAGCATAAGTTGAAGTCGGGAATGTCTCAAAGAAACAGGGAGTATTCCAAATGAAAGACGGTGGCGTAACTTGTGACAGTCTGGCCTCGATTGGCCAGTACCAAATCAGAAGAAGGGCCGTGCAGAAATGTTATAAAAGAGGGCTATGGCACACCTGAATGAGCATCTCCTACAGCCATCCTCGACAGCCCAACAATGAGCGACACTACTCCCTTCTACGCTTATATTCACTATGTATGAAACTACTTTATCCCGGTGGCTCTCTCTAACCTCTACTTGTCCAGCCAACTGATGATAATGTCTGGCGTATGACGATGCTATTTGCCAATCGTGCCACCGCCGACGAATGGTGGCGGGCCGTCTCTGAATCCACCGTGATTACGAACGACATTCGTCGCATCACCCCCCAGTACTACACCCACGATGCTGCAAAGTTCAACGTGTTCAACTTCTTCGTCGATGCTCGCATCAAATCCATCTCGGACAACTTCCGAGGACGTTTATTCCTTCAACTAGAGAACGATCGCGGTGGGCGGGGCATCAGCATCATCCCCTCTCAAACCATCTGTGACCATGTCAATGGAAACTGGTAGGTGTTCGTTGTGAAAGACCAGCGACCAAGCACTGATATAATACTGTTCGGCTCAGGTTTTACATTCGATCCAAAGCCGAGCCGCATATCTACTGGCACGACACGTCCAACGGTGACAACCAATGTGGCATTGTGGGCTCCTACCAGCGCCGTACTCGCTTCAGGGTCACCATTCACACCACCGTTTCTGGTGTAGCGCCCAAGCCTGGGGCCATCATCATTGGCAGTGACCTGGTCACTGTCCAGAGCAAGGCCAACCACTACGTCGGACCCAGTTCGGGCAACCTGAGTGGTCTTGTCCAAACCAATACTCTCCACACCTTCCGATTCGGTGACTTATTGGAAGGCAAGAGCGTCAACGCCGTTAGCACCTCCTCGGACGGGGCGGCGCTGTCGTTCTTTACTGGACCCGATTCTAACCCCGGAGAGTTCTGGGAGCTCGCCTAGGTGGCTGCGAGAAGTAGCACAAAGATTGCATCTGAGCTGTAATCATGCCTTATCCTTCCATCCTCAAATCGTCTGCTTCAGCGGAGTTTTTACAATAGCTAATCTGGGGTGTTTCTAAATGATACTCTTTCCATTGCGACGCGGTTGATTGAGCTTAAGCGCCTTGTGTTTGGATAGGGGTCGGCGCTTATCATTATTGATCCCTAGACGTTGACTTGCGCCGTGCACGGGCAAGTGAGTCGCAGCGTGACTTCAAGGACGTCTCTGGTGCGATGCGGCTGCCGTGAGCTTGATCTCGGTCTGCCAGTGAGCGCCTCGTTTCTCCTTGAGGTGATAGTCGAATTTAATATTTCCCTTCTGCAGGTTCAGGACGAACAATCTGGCTGCCCAGTTCATGAAGGGTCGTCTAGCTAAATGGATGGATTTAAATTAATAAACGCCCCAAACGGGGAAAGTATTGGGTATATAACAGGGGGTGCATATGAAGCAGGTAATGATTAGGCCAAGAATTCCGCAAGAGAGAGCGTTGAAACAATATGATCTCACAGACCAAATCTACCATCCATCGCCCCCACCCCCATACCTCCTCGGGATCTGGGCCTCATCAACATGTTCCTTCAACGTCTTGCAAATCTCCCTCTCACCAGAGCCTACCACACTCATCTTCTTGAACGTCGCAGCCGGCACGACCGCCTTGAATGCCCAAAAGATCCAGCTGAGCAAGCTCGGCACGTTGATGAAAAACTTCTTGTACAATAATTCAGGGTAGTGAGAGTTGAAGATGTTGCTAGCTTCAGAGGCGGCGGCTTTGGAGTTGGCGTCGCGTGAGGAAAAGGAGACGCCGGCATAGTCGTGGATTTGGAGGAGTTGGTCTACGGTTGTAAAGTCTAGGAGGGTGAGGCAGCGTTCTTGGAAGGCTACGCGCCAACTATTCGGGGTATAAGTATGGCAAATGATTTGCCATGACATAGAAAGCTCACCGAATGAATCGCTGCACGTCGGAGAAGACAGATTTGATGTCCGGGTTGCCGCCGTAGACGTTGTAGCTGCGGGAATGATGAGCAAACATATCTTCACCCGAGTGAACACACTCACACGATGGGATGACCTTGTTTATCATGCCCGAATGTCTTGCCCAGGGCGCCAAAGACATCCTGAGGGAATTCTTCTTTCATTACCTCGTCGATCTTGAAGCTTTCGCGCCATCGCAGGGTCTGGACAAGCATCTCTCTAGCTGCTTGAGGGTTCAGATTCCTTTCGACATGCGTTAGTATCTTGTCCTTGAGATCGGTCAACCCAGTACTAACCTAGCGCGTAAGAATTTCATAAGAACGACGCTAGCCCGCGCATCCTTCTTGCCGTTAGGATTAAGGGTGATACCCCAAATCGTAACAGGCGTCGTCTTGGCGTCTGTCTTGTCGGGGAAAGCTTCTTCGAGGACGAATGGAAGGTCGGCCTAGGCACTGTCAGAGAGTTATGGCTGCGTCCCTGACGATAGACGTACGCGGAACTTGTGCAAGGCCTCCCATTCTGCCGCGGTGAACTTTTTGGTCAAGTCACTTTGAGGCTCTTCCTCCTCCTCGGTCGGCTTCTCTAGAACAGGAACAGTTTCGGCTGGAAGCGTTGCGGTAGGCCCGGGAGCCATATCAGTGGCGATAGGGGCAGCAGTTGGCGTGGCAGAAGCGGCTGCGACTGCAGCAGAAAGGGTAGCTGTAGGGACAGATGCACCAGTATGAGCAGGCTCAGGTGCGGCTTCTGCTGTCTTTGTCGGTGCAGCAGTAAGAGTAGGAGCAGGAGACTCTGCCGTTGGAAGAGGTGCAGGAGCAGCAGCAGTATGCGTCGGTGCAGACTCAGAGGCAGTAGGAAGCTCAGGGGCAGCCGCAGGGGTTGGCAGAGGTGCGGATGCGGTGGCAGACATTATAACCTATACGAAACGTGGAACCAGCAAGGCCAAGTCAGCTTAGAAGTAGTGAATCTAGACTCCAGGTAGCCAGCGCAGTTCTTGTCTAATCTTAGAACGTATTTGGCTTGTTGTTTATTGATCCCATCAGCCCCTAGACGACGGTCCCCAAATCTCCTCTTCGCTGTTCTTGTTGTCGCCGTCGCCGTGCCCAGCAACGCCAAGCGCCCATCCTAGCGCCTGCTCATAATCTCCCCTCATATCTGTATTTATACTCGGATACACACAGCGCATGCGCTCATAATTCCCTGCGGCTAATTCTCTATCTTTTCAACGACACACAGCAATCATGTACGACGACACCCAGCGACCGTGGCAGGCAGGCAGGCAGCCTATGCAGAGCCCCATGTGGTCCAACGACAAACCATGGCTTCAGCGCATTGGAGACAACGCTGTCATGGCTGTGGAAGAATTGAAGAATACGATCCTCCACCTTATGCCCTCCTCGAAGCATAAATCTCATAGGTCCCTCAACGCTTCACCGACCAACTCTAGCGTCGGGTTCATCTTCATGTGTGGACTATGGTACACGACCTCTGCGCTCTCCTCCAACACCGGCA